TTACCAGAGCTCCAGATAAGCTGCGTATCTGCGTAAAATACGCATCAAGAATGCAGAAATACGCAGTAAAATAAAATCCAAGCGTATCAAATACGCAACAAACATTACAGATTCGCTACAAAAATAAAACTTGTGCGTATCATCAAAATAGTGTGAAGTAACCCTGCGTATTCGATTAGCAAATCAGCAACTTATTTTGAAATTAATTAACGGACATTCCGTCAACCTTGCCAAACTCCACGATGACAGTTAAAACATGATCATTTGCCATCACACTTTCTTGTGGAAGTATCATGGTATTTTTGAGTCCTATAAAGCTCTCGAACCCACTCGACACCAGTTTGCTGGGACTAGATGAATAGTGTTTTTAAATATTTAACTTAAATACGCACATGTGTAAAAACTAGTGGGTAACAGAAATTTGAATACCCAGATAGAATTACTGATACCCAATGATTTTAAAATGCATGGGTAAAATACCCACAACACCAAAAGCTTATCTGGAGCTTTGCTTACAAACAAGAGTAAGTCTGGTCAAGTGAAAAGCTTACACCCGCAGTGTGCTCACTGGAGCCAAAACCGAATAAGACGAGCAGAACTGAGTAAGCTAATGGGTTATCGGCAACTGTCTGAAAGTATACCCCCCCCCTTCAAAGTATACCCAGGTAGATTCTGGTGCCTTCCAGAATCTACCCCCGGCCAGATTTTGGGAGCTCCCAGAATCTACCCCCTTTTCCAGGAATCTACCCCCGGGTATCAAAGCTTCAGAACGGTCGGCATCCGGGCCTCTAAGTGATAGGTACTGCTTGTGTGCACCCTTCACTGCAGTAGAGTTCATGTATGTGATGCATATGTGGTGGCCACAAAATTTCCAAGTTCTGTTACATGTTTCGAACCAAACACCTTCTGATCCGAGGTCAACATCATCAAAGAGGTTAACGTAATCTATGTCATAAGTGTCAGAAGTGTTCAGTAGATTTGTTTTATTTTAACCAACTAGCGGAGTAGTGGTAAAGTTGATTTTTTAAATATTGTAGATACTCTGTCTGAATTTAGATTTCCTAAGCAAATTTATTGCATCAGTTATGACTCGTATCAAAAACTCTTACGAGTATTCCAGGAATTTATTGCATCAAATACGCATGAATTACCCTTCATGTAAAACCCTGTCAAGACATTTTTTCACTGTTGCAAACAATGGTTCATTTGTCATAGAAATCAATTCCCTGTGGGGGCCGGGTCATAAATGGTCCGGGTCATAAAAGGTCCGGATGCAGGGTGAGGAAAAGTGCAAGAGGCAAAAAATTACTCTTATTATTATTGGTCCATTTCCATTAATAACGTAACCAATATATCATCATCTACTCCCAAAACACATCCACTAGTGATGACGGCCGGGACTTATCTAGGAATCTAAACACAGTGCCCTTGGCATGCGCACTGGAAAAAAGAGTCATTTTCCATTGCACTTTAACACTGCATTCAGAGCAATAGTGTAAAACTATTGAACACAGATTTATCGAGAGCTGTTCTGAGGCTGACATTCAGCACAAAGTCTGAAAAAAATGAAAGTAAAAATTCCCAATTTATGTTTCAATTTCTCATTTTCTCCAAATTTATAAAATTAGGAATGCTAAAATGAATTAAATGAAATGACACCCTACTCAAGTCCAAGATGATGTGAAATGGGGTTTAACGTTGCGTCCAAGATTATTGCACTTACATAGCGACGTGTATGCACATGTGTGTGTGTGTGTGTGTGCTTGTACTAGTCCGGTTTGATGACGATTTATAGTGCTAGCCCACTGAGATACCATGCCGCAGTTTAACATGAATACCCCACTCAGACACAGTATACTGACTCCGAGCCAACCAGTCCTTGTTTTAGACCCCTAAATTAATGCCGAGCACCAGACAGGGTAACAACAAGTACCATCTTTTAACGTCTTTTGACTTGACGTGCATCTTTTGGAACTGAACCGCCGACCTTCTGCTCTCCGGGAGGGTGCTCTACCACTAGACCACAGAGGTCTACTCCAGTCACACATTCTTCAGTAGGGTGCAAGGGTGGCCCAGAGGTCTAAGGCGCCACAATTCGCTGTGCAGAGTTGCGTCCCTACCATGGCAGGTAGGTTGGTTTACACCAAAGATGTGTTAATGATGCAATATGGCCAACAAACCATGACAATGTTCTCATATAATAATTTTTGTTGAGTATGTGTTGAGTTTTATAATGACATATAGTGCACAAAATGAAATATAATAATGTCATATATACCGCGTATTGATATTCTTCGACAAAGGTAAGCAAACACCTTGACAAGAGTTGCATCATACAACAGACTCCAGGCCTGGGACCAGGCCGCTTCAGTTTAAATTTTTACCAAGTAGCCATTTTAGCCAAGTAGCCAAGTTTTTTTTTCCAGGTAGCCAGCGGTAAAATCAAGAAGTCAAGCTAATATTGTAGGTAGCCAAAAGCATTTGAAATGATCTTTTATCAAATAACTATACGTACAAGTCATAGCACTGGTCTTGGAATAGTATTTTAGTGGAAGCTGTACTTGAGTTTTCTTATTTGTGACTCAAACAATGATGCAATTTATGGTACTAGATTATATTGGTATATCCTTGCTTATTCAATAAACTATCAAGTTAGTATCAACTAAAATAAAATACTAATTACATTAATATTTATGTATTTCAGTTCATTGTTGACTTAAGAGTAATTATTTGCAAGTACAATTAGTAGTAGACATGTTTATTTTTGTTTCTACATATATGCAGCAATAGAATTTAGTGGCCACATGATTGTTTTCAACGAAGTCATTTGGCTACCTCTGAATTTTAGACAGCAGACAAATTGAAATTTAGGTCGCACTGGCGACTGTTTTAGTCACAACTTTGAGTCCTGGGGACTGGTCCAAATTTACTTACCAGTACAGAGCTCCAGATAAGCTTTTGGTGGTGTGGGTATTTTACCCATGCATTTTAAAATCATTGGGTATCAGTAATTCTATCTGGGTATTCAAATTTCTGTGACCCACTAGTTTTTACACATGTGCGTATTTAAGTTAAATATTTAAAAACACTATTCATCTAGTCCCAGCAAACTGGTGTCGTGTGGGTTCGAGAGCTTTATAGGACTAAAAAATACCACGATACTTCCACAAGAAAGTGTGATGGCAAATGATCATGATGTAACTGTCATCGTTGAGTTTGGCAAGGTTGACGGAATGCCCGTTTATAATTTCAAAATAAGTTGCTGATTTGCTAATCAAATACGCAGGGTTACTTCACAATATTTTGATGATACACACAAGTTTTATGTTTGTAGCGTATCTGTAATGTTCGTTGCGTGTTTGATACGCTTGGATTTTATTTTACTGCATATTTCTGCATATCTGATGCGTATTTTACGCAGATACGCAGCTTATCTGGAGCTCTGCAGTATCACCAAATTTACTAACCAGTATGACCCCTCTATTACCCGACCCTACCCGGGTACCTACTGTTGGTCTCAAGAGATAGGTACAAAATGTCCATTTGGGAATATTTGACCGTAGCCTAGGCAAAATGTATTAAGATACAAGTATAAAACGATCTGTTCATACATACACTGAAGTTGACTGAAGTTTTATCTTTATTCAAACCTATAATGTGTGCATAGTCTGAAAGAAAAGCGAACATTAGTGACTTGTAGTGTAATCATAGAGTTCAAGATCAAATTTGCCATTAAACAATGTATCATATGACTAGGTGGTGAGGTGAAATAAGGTTTAACGTCGCGTCCAAGATTTTTGCACTTATAAAGCGACGTGCATGCACGTGTGTGTGTGGCTGCTTGTACTAGTCTGGACTGATGCCGATTTATAGTGCTAGCCCACTGAGATACCATGCCGCAGTTTAACATGAATACCCCACTAAGACACAGTATACTGACTCCGAGCCGACCAGTCCTTGTTTTAGTCCCGTAATGCAGAGCGCCAGACAGGGTAACAACAAGTACCATCTTTTAACGTCTTTTTGGTATGACGCGGCCGGGGATCGAACCCCGGACCTTCCGCTCTTCGGGCGGACGCTCTATCACTAGACCACAGAGGCGGTCTATCATATGACTAACCTACTCAGTACCCACCTGACCCAAGTACCCGAGTACCCGAGATACCCAGCCCAGCCCAAACAGACCCATGTTGATAGTTTCCAAATGAGTGAGTTAGTTGGGTTTAACGCCTCCTTAAACAGTATTCCATTTACATCATGAAGTGTCAGCTTGATGTGGGAAGAAAGCCCAAAGTGATGCAGGTCTTAGATATTTAACACACATAACAAAATGAACATATTTATTATATAAAATTGTATAAGACTGAATATATCATAACAGACATGTGTCTATGTGGCTGATTGAAATCACCCCATGAACGATTGTTTTAATTTAAACATAAATTGGATTACAGTGGTATTTGGATTGACCGATGCATCATGTGGTCTAGACATACCGATTCAGGGCCACTCTGTTCTCCGGAAGCGTTTCCCTTGGGATAACACTTCTCTGACAAATTGCTACGTCATCGTATGTGACATGTATAATGCTCATTGAAACAGACAACCATAGATCACTACATAATAACGACCCGGAACATTTAATGCGATTCTGTAAATTGTAATGTTTATTACAACCCATACAGGGCCCCGCCCCAAAACTAAACGTCACGTGAATAACAATCGGAACGACAGGTAGATCCGGATAGATTGTACACTGGGGTCCTGTCTTCGTTCATAACTTATGTCACGAAACATTTCAATCTGAACATATGTTACAAGTCTCTCACAAAAACACACTTAAAGTCACAAACGTGCTCACAGTTGTGAAACGGGAACATATATATATATATACATGCGTCATTAAAATATCACTCAGGTCGCAAGAGGGGTGTTATAACGAAACATGGACACACCTATTCGGCGACACGGTGAATGAATGTAAGAAACGAGAGACTTACCCTATCACATAGCCGATGACGCATAGCTGTAGAAATCGGTTGATTATGCCGACTTTTTTGCTCTTGATGTGAACAATCCTAGGGGTATCGTACTCAAAAAACAGGCTCACGGCTGACCTAACTAACTTCGGAGCCATGTTTCGACAGGCGGTCGAGTAGCGAGTCATGTGATTGAGCTAGCACGTGCCGCTTCCCGCTACAACAACACTGTCACACTGCCGATAACGCTGAACTCGCTACAGCACAAGTATATGTTTCTGTGTACACCAGAAACTGCCCCTACACCTTGCAATATCGTTGTGATTATGTGCATCGTGTAAACATTACTGAGTTCTGGGGCAAGAGACCATGGGGGAAGCTTAAACCAAATTGTTAATTTTGTCCAGGCGGAATATCAGTCCATGCTCTTTCTCATTGAAAGCGTTTCCGATGGGATCAAATCACCCTTGCCTTTATCACGATGCAATAGCTGTTTCGAGCAATCATTACTCATCTACCGTATGATTTGACTTGTCACATAGCTTATGAAAATATATTTCCAGGGATAAATGCCCAGACCATGTGAACAGGTACACAACAATCTCCTTTCTTGGTCAGCTACTATATATATTGCATCCGTGTAAAAAAGCTTTTCCGTTTGAGGAGAATGCAGATTGGATGCTGATTTTAAGTACAGAGGCTGGAACGCTAGATATAATTATGGTGCCTCCCTGTCTGTGAGAAGCTGACAAGTGTTGGTACCACGCACAGAAAAATGTGCAGCGCACCAACAGTGGTCGACGGCAAGTTTTATTTCATTAATCGTGTACATAATTAAGCACAAATAGGATTTTCTATAAAACAAGACTACTGCTGGGTTAAGTTTGCATCGTATTACAACTCGTTTTACTAAACAGTTCTTGTGCAATACTCGTGCAGACCGAGTTCCAGGATTTCGAAAATGGAGTGGTGGGGTGAGGTGGGGTGGGAGGGGTTGATTCAGGTATTCAGGTATGCGCAAGTTTCAAAGTGAACGTGTGAGTGAGTATGGTTTAACGCCCCTATTAGCAATATCACGGTGGGGAACACATTGGGGAATCGAACCCTGGTCTTCGGCGTGAAGAGCGAACGCTTTAACCACTAGGCTGCCCCACCGCCCCTAAAAGTGAACGAAAGCTCATGGTAGGTTGGGATTCGGCATATTAGATGTCTGAAAAATACATTCTCCCTGCCCTCCCATCCGAATCCACCAATTCATGCTTGCTGTAAAAGGTGACTATGCTTGTCGTATAAAGAGGCATCTAACGGGATCGGGTGGTCAGACTCGGTGACCTGGTTGAAGCATGTCATCGATCCCAATTGCGTGGATCGACGCTCATGATGTCAGTCACTAGATTGTCTGGTCCAGACTCGATTATTCACAGACCGCCGTCATATAGCTGGAATATTGCTGAGTGCGGCGTTAAACAACCAACCAACCAACCAACCAACTACTGTATAAAACACTCTACACTGTTGTTTCATGCACATCTCTTATCTCAATCTCTTATCTTTTGTGAGCCAACAGGACGTTATAACTGATAACGCACGTCAACGGGTAGCGCGGCTGATGCGAGAAATGTGTTTACGTCACGACTGGGTTATCATGTTCTGTTATCTGACGTGTTATAGTGTCTGCATCACTGTCTTTGATGTATTACCGCACGTCGCCATATGTTGTGCATGGTGCTATGATGCAGTGGGCACGCGGGTATACGGCCCGAGCTGACACATCTGGATCGATGTCAACTATAAAAAAATTATGCACACTCAGCATGATAAATGCAGAGACATTGCAAACATGATCTATTCAAGAAGTGAATCGATCGGTGAGGACGTCGATCGATCATCATCATCATCATCATAATCATCATCATCATCATCTTCTTCTTCTTCTCTTCTTCTTCATCATCATCATCTTCTTCTTCTTCTCTTCTTCTTCTTCATCATCATCATCATCATCATCATCATCTTCTCTTCTTCATCATCATCATCATCATCATCTTTTTCATCATCATCATCATCTTCATCATCACCATCATAATCTTCATCATCATCATCATTATCATCATCACCATCATCATACTCCTCACCATTATGTTTCAGTGATAGCAATCATCATCATCATAATCATGATTATCGCCTTATTTCACGTCACCGCAATTATTATTACGATCATCATTGTTATAAATATTATTATTCTGTTTAGCGTCATAATTAACATTGTTTTAATCATCTTGCTAAAGAGTGTAAATGCCTTGCCATCTTTCGTCAACAAACAACAGGACCGGTGAAGACCCGGGTAGAATAGGTCTTCAGCAACCAATGCTTGCAGTAAACGGCGACTACGCTTGTAATAGGCGACTAACGGGATCGGGTGGTCAGGCTCGCTGACTTGGTTGATGCATGTCATCGACCCCAATTGCGTGGATCGATGCTCATGATATTAATCACTGGATTGTTTGGTCCAGACTCGATTATTTACAGACCGCCGTCATATAGCTGGAATATTGCTGACTGCGTCGTTAAACAACAAACAAACAATAAACAACACGTACATCACTCGTTTTTGTAAGTCATATAGTATAATAATATACTGTTTTCTTCATATCAACAATTCTATTTTATTTAGTAAATATACTTTCACATACACAATACAAATTATTATTAAATAACAGCTTCGGGTACTCTGCTTTGGTTTTAGATTCCGTTCGAACACATAAGAGACTTATTTCCACGTTGAAACCAACACGAGTATAACTTATCTCTCGTGTTACATTGCTTCCATAATCAGTTGTCATTAGACCGAGGCAGTAAACAACCGAGCTGTTCCACCCAGGAAGCAGGAACGTTAATGTCGTTTTAAGTGACATCGACGTATATACATATTCTGAATGTGTTCTGGTGCAAAATATTTGTGAAGAATTTATGACACGTCCGCGAATGTAACCATGACCAATCCAAAAGTCAATCTCAGCACTTGTACCGAGATTTCCAAGCATATTGTGTGCACCAACCCCAGCCCATTGACCGGCATCGATATTTGGTACCTTGGCGTCAAGCACCAGCTGCACGTACAGTCGTACTTGCTGGGGGTTGTGTGGAGGCCATTTGGAGCGTTTTCCGACCGAAACGTGCAGAAAACTGTTTTGTAACTCCGTGGGGTGGATGGAACTGATGGAGAGGATGAGCCAAATTCTCCAAGTGGTAATATGTTGGTTAAAAAATGAATCGGTAGGAAAAAGTGGGGGCTGCCCTGACCCCTGCACCCTGCACCCCCTCCCTGGTCCCCCGGGACCCGTGAAGATCCGGGGTAGAATAGGTCTTCAGCAACCCATGCTTGCCGTAAAAGGCGACTGTGCTTGTCGTAAGAGGCGACTAACGGGATCGGGTGGTCAGGCTCGCTGACTTGGTTGATGCACGTCATCGAACCCAATTGCGTGGATCGATGTTCATGATATCAATCACTGGATTGACCAACCAACCAACCTTGTCCTACGAGCCTGTGGTGTATTAGCAAACAACAGTGCTGTATTAACTTCTACACACAAGCACAGACACTACCTCTATTCATAAGTGTCATCTTGCCATAAATCAAGATGACTGTCCATTGATGATGATTTGTAATATTTGAGTTGTGAGTGAGTGAGTTAGGTTTAACGCCGCTTTTAACAGTATTCCAGTTATATCGCGACGTGTCAGCTTAATGTGGGAGGAAAGCCCGAAGTGATGCAGGTCTCAGACGTTTACCACTTCGGTGAAACCCACGAGCACGGGTATGGTGCTGACAAACCTAGAAACATAATCGGGGCGAACCGGGATTCGAACCCACATTCATAGGTTTCTGACGTGCCCAAGGGACGCAACTCTGCACAGCGAATCGCGGCGCCTTAGACGACTGGGCCACCCGTGCCCCCAATATTTGAGTTGAAAGCACGAGTACCAAACAAGGCGCGAACTGAATACAGATCGTCATCTCCAGCGTCTCTCTTCTCATTTCTCCGTCAGGGGCGGTCGGGTAGCCTAGTGGTTAAAGCGTTCGCTCGTCACGCCGAAGACCCGGGTTCGATTCCCCACATGGGTACAATGTGTGAAGCCCATTTCTGGTGTCTCCCGCCGTGATATTGCTGGAATATTGCTAAAAGCGGCGTAAAACCATACTCACTCACTCACTCATTTCTCCGTCCATGCAGGCGTACACGTTTCAGGGTACATGTAGTTGTGATTGTTTGTTTGTTTGTTGTTTAACGCCGCATTCAGCAATATTCCAGCTATATGACTGCGGTCTGTAAATAATCGAGTCTTGACCAGACAATCAAGTGATTGTCATCATGAACATCGATCCAGTTATAGCAAACTATTGTTTATGTACATGTGTGTGATGAATGAGAAAACTATGTGCACACTTCACTGGAAAATGAAGTACTTGTGCAGATAATCGACACTCAGACCAGGAAGCTAATTATCAGTCTCGCACAGGGAACGACCTTTATGATGTTCAAGGACATAATTTGATTATCGGACTTTTTTTGGTCAAATGTTAGGTTGACTTGGAGTGACATGGGGCTTAGTGTCACGTTCAAGATTATTGTACTTATATTACAGCGTGTATGCACTCGTGACTGAGCGTGTGTGTGTGTGTGTGTGTGAGAGAGAGAGAGAGAGAGAGAGAGAGAGAGAGAGAGAGAGAGAGAGAGATTGTAATCTTCCGGACTAATGCCGGTTTTTATAGTGCCAGCACATTGTGATACAGTGTCACAGTTTAACAAGGACACTCCACTCAGACAGGGGATACTGACTCTGAGCAGACCAGTGTTTTAGCCCCTAAATGCCGTGCGCCAGACAGGGTAACAACAAGTACCATCTTTATAACATCTTTTGGCGGCCGGAGATCGAAGCACCCACCTTCCGCTCTCCGGACAGACAAACTATCCACTGGACCCCGGAGGCGGTTCTGGCGAAGGAATTGATTTCTCTCGAAGCAACAGTAAAACGTTATCAAAATAATCTTATATCATTTGCTACATGCTTGAAAACATTGTTTCTAGACACGAGGAATCATATCGCCGTAGGGCGTATCATATGGGATGAAAGTGAGTGAGTGAGTATGGTTTTACGCCGCTTTTTGCAATATTCCAGCAATATCACGACGGGGGACACCAGAAATGGTCTCACGCATTGTACCCATGTCGGGAATCGAACCCGGGTCTTCGGCGTGACGAGCGAACGCTTTAACCACGAGGCTACCCGACCGCCCCTATGGGATGTAAGGCTAAAATTGTTTCATCCAACGAATCGAGGCGTCTACT